AAAGCTGTTGTCCTGCTGATGTGATGTCACCGCTGAATCAGGGTTCATAAGGTCACGTTTTCCTGCCTCGCTGTGTTTCTGCAGATGCTGGCCCGTCTGGATCCAAAGTCCTGCCCGGGTAAGGCGCCTTTAAAACAGCTCTGGGTTTGAAGTCCAGCTGTAAAGACACCTGAAGTCTTCCCTGTTTGTTCAAGTTTTAGACGCCTGAAATCTTCTCTGTCTTCATTCTTTCAGTGATGTCATCGATCTGCGGGATGATGATGATGACGAGGAGGAAGTGTCAGCATTCAGGGTCAGTAACTCTCCCATCAGGTCCTTCACACCCATCTCAGAAGCCGCCGACTGCCTTATCGACTTCAAGAAACAGCAGCGAGCCAAGAAGCCGTACCAAAGACGCCGATGAGGGCGGAGCCTTAACTGGAGCCCACAGCGGGCTGAAGGACATTTCTGCAGATCGAACTTTTGAGTGCTGAAAGTGCGTCGGGCTGACGCTGAAGATGTCTCAGTCTACCTCCTCATGAACATTTCCTTTATGTTACTGTAGCTTCGCTCAAACATGAAATGAAATTAAATGTTGGATTTTCTGCCTTTGATTTTCTGTCCCGTCGTCATGGATACTCGTGTGGAAACAGCGGGTTAGATGCGCTGAGGCGCTGCTCACTGCATTTACAGGTGAGGCCAAACCAAAGTACCTGCAGTTCCTCTAGTGGCCACATGAGGCGGCAGTGAGTCAGTCCCCATAAACTCTCACAGTCGAGTTTTCAGGTGATCGTTTCACTCGGTTTGCTTGTGTGTGCTGGCCTTCGGTGAACATTCTGCTCGCCGTGCTCTGACACACCTTTGTGTTGCTGAGCGACTGGGATGGGCGAGATTAGAAATGAGTCTGTCAGAGGGACGCCTCAGGTTAGAGAGGCGAGGCTGACGTTGTCTGGACAAAGGAGGAGAAGAGGGAGACCTCGGAGCTCTCTGGGTGTCATCCAGAGAAGGATAGGCTGGTTATGAGGCAGGTGGTCCGGCGTGGTGACCTCTGAGGTCACTGAAGGAAGAAGTGCTGAATGTGTCTGTGCTGAAGTCGTGACTGAGTGATTGTGTCAGTGCAGCTCAGAGTTTCCTAGATTACCCAAGAAAAACACCGCAGAAAGTCCGGTGTGCCCTCAAGCAAGGGTGTTGTGCCATCACAGTTGGTGCACCTCAGCAGCATCAGACAGACGGGCCTGCAGCTGGTTGGGTGAAGGTGTCTTTTGGACCAGTCTTTTCCTCCGTCGTGGCTCAGAAATGACACTACAGCACCAAACTGCATCTGTCATCGCTCCAGGAGAGTGACACGCCACGGCATCCAGACCTCACGTTCCTGTAACAGTAACTCAACAGTGTCGGTGCTTCAGTCGAGTCCCGCTCTGTGCATTGTTTCCTCGATCAAAGATGGATGAAGGCTTGTGATGTCACTCGCTGGTTTCTGGGTTTTGAGGCCTCAGCGTCACCATTTTGGCTGCTAACCTGTTCACCCGCTGTTGGCAAGCTAGCCCTTGCATGGTACCTGCTGAGTAGCACACTGAATAAATGCCTAGCATGAAATATTAGTTCTCAAATAATTTAAAAAAGGCTCAACAGCACAAACACGCTGCAGAGGCCCAGGGAGTCCTGCTAGCAGCCTGTCAGTCACAGAGGCCACGCCCCCTAGCTTTGAGGAACAGGCTGTCTGTAAAATCTGTCACCGCTGGAGCCTCGAGTGGCGCCGGAGGAACTGCAGTGTAATGTGCATTATTCTTACTCAGCCTCCAAACTGAAGCTTAAAGAAAGAAAAACTAGAAGTGCTTTGACTTGTTTGTCTTCACAAGACAAAAATGATCAAAATCAATATTGTTGTGAATGTTTTCTATAAAATCTCATAAACGAGTGTTTCCTGTTCCTGTTCTGCACTGACTCGTCCTGTGTCTGAACACTGAGAGTTTCTCTCTTACTTTGCAGTGAAAGTCAGTTTACTGATTATTCCTGATGTAAGTGAACGCAGCACTGATGAGTTATATGAAAACATCACCTGTAAGATCTTTCTGCCTCATTTTCACCTCTTTGGCCACAAAACACTTGAATCGAAACTCTTCCCATTTCTTTGATGAAAACAGACTTAAATGAACTGCGCTGAACTCCGAACACTTCGTGTCCTTCATCGTTCGTCCTTCACATGATCTCTGCACCTTCAGGAGGCCCCAGACGGCCTGTCGTCGGGTTCATTTGCTCCAGCCTTAGGTTTCAGTTTCCTCGCAGCATTCTGTGGCCGCTGTGTTGAAACATTCGCTGTCTCCACGCTGAGCGAGTTGCACCACCAGGCGAAAGTTTAGAAAGAATAAAGGCGCAACTTAAGTTTGGATGAAGAAATGAGCTTCTTAGAATAACGAGCAGCACAGGTGGAGCCGGGGTTTCTGCAACTTCCTGTGTTTATTTAGTGGACAGGTTCTCTGAAACGAGACAAAGAAACCACCGAGCTGCTCAACGATCAGTAACACATCAGTGAGTCACGTTCTTCATACACCACCACACAGTCACCTGACAGCTCCAGCTGTGACCTGACCGATGTATGATGAGATGTATATAAGTTTATGTGTGCAGGAATATCGGTGTGTGTACTTTAAGAGCTTTTACTCTGAAAATATTCAGAGGATCAAGGTGAAATGTGACGTTTGTGTACTGAAATAAGTCAGCTGGTTCACAGGAGGTTTTTCTTGCTCGTTTTCTTGTGAAACATTTCTTTTTTCCAGAAAAGCAGGAAAACTGTTAACGCTTCTGTATTCTGGCAGCTCGGCTCGAGCTCCTGAAGCCCACCAGGCCTGACTCCAGGTGGGTCGGTAGCTGCATCTTGAGGATAACAGTCTCCCGTCCTGCTGGGATCACAGGGAAAGCTCGGACATTCAGGCTCAGACGTCTGGGCACCTCAGGTGTTGTGGGCGTGTCCTAGTGGCAGCTGGCTCTAGAACGCCTCAGTGGAGGAGGTGGTGGGAGGCGGAGGTGTGGTTGGATGGAGTTGAAGTATGCCAGAGGGAATGAAGCGCTGTTATTGTTTTACCTAGAGACAGCAGTCCGGCCGTTTTATCGTATTTGCTGCTTCCAGGTGTCAATTTTAAACTAAAACCGAACAAACTTCTTCACGTTCTCGAGGAACACTCGACCCTCGTCAGACGGGAACATCTGCCTCCTCGGGCTGCTGGACAATAAAACCCACAGAGAGTAAAACCAAAGTCTGGTTGTTACGCACCAACTCCAATAAGTCGGTACAAGTGTTGTAGCAGATAAGAGCTTTTTTGGGCTGTTCCTCTAAGAAACCAATGTCTCCTTCCATACAACAATGTGGGGGAGAAAGGTTGTGCCAAAGAAAAACACCAAAAAGACAAAAACCAGAACTAAGCTGAGGTTTACTCTAAGAGGAAAACAAAGAAAAGAAAGTGCTACTCCTCAACTCACAAAATAAACTCAAACATTACATGCATGAAATGTGCAGGGTCCCCCCCACAAACCTTACACAACAAATGAAAAGATCCAGGGCAGCTCAGCACATGTGCCACATGATCCTTAGCAGCGAGGAGCAGAGAGCCACCTCTAGCCTCCTTTTATAAGGGCGTCCTCCCTCTGGAGCTGGAGATTCCCAAATTGTCACCAGCCTGCAGTCTGTGTATGTAGGAAATGGCAAGCAAAAGGAGGGGGGGTCGCAGACAGCTTCAGACACTTAACACTGCTTTTAGTTTCCTGAAATTCGTTTTGACTCACATGCTGCCGTCTGCCTACGTCCAGAGAAACACTGATGTTCACAGTGACGTTCAGCTGTGCAGGAAAAGCTGGAGAAATGAACGGGAGGAGTTCGGCCGGCGCTCCCATGAAAGGTGACTGCATGTTGGATTTCATGACCTATTTGCCCCCAGTGACAGATGCCCCCCTCCCTGAGCCTGGTTCTGCTGGTGCTTTCTTCCTGTTAAAAGGTGAGTTTTTCTTTCCCACTGTCGCCCATTTGGGGTCATATGATTGTTGGTGTTTCTCTGGAAATATTGAGAAATAAAACTGTTGCACAGCACTGTGTATGCAGTAACTCAGCAGAGATATGAGAAAAATGTAATAAATAAAACGTTATAGAAACAGGACATTAAGAACATCAAACATGAAAGAGAAAAACGTGTCATATCTCAGTGAGGAGGTTTCCACACCTGCGGCTCCTCCACACTCAGACACCCACCCACCCCCTCCAATTACCACCCACTCACCGACCGGTTCAAGGTTAACTTTGACAAACAAATCCGAGCCTCACTCCGCGTGATAACTGATCCACGTGACTCGGATTCATTTTAAATCACCAATAATTAATCATTTCTGTGTGTGTGTGTGTGTGTGTGTGTGTGTGTGGGTGGGTGGTTTCATACCGGCTTCACCCCCACCCTTTTAACCAGCCTCCACCCTGGAGGTTGGTTAAACTGTTAAAAATGACTTTTTGACCTGTAATCCGTCACGAGCAGGTCAAACGTGAGTGATGTGGAGTCCTTTTGGTCCAGAAACAGCTCCGGTCACAAACTGTTTTATGTGTTTTTGATGAGAGCTCAGACGGAGAGAGCAGCAGGAACATCACAGCTCCACAAACACGCTGTCAGTGATTGAAGCGTGGGTACAATTACGCGGAATCATAGAGAACTTCAGAACTTTATAAGTGCCTCCGTCATATTTCTACATCACCACCGTGTGTTAATACAAGTAATACAGTTAAAGATGTTCCACGTAAAACACGCAGAAACATCGGAAACTCTCTGGCATGACCCCGGCATTTTTACGCGCGATCAGCTGTAGATCCGCTCGTGATCAGCTGTAGATCCGCTCGTGAACAGCGGGAGGTTGCCGTGTTGCGACACGAAGTGGGTGTAAACGATTCCCAAAATGAGCACCTCACGCGCTCTCCCTGCCTCTCATTCATTAAGGAAGCTCAGAGCTGTGAGGCTGAGCGCGCGGAGCCGGACGCAAAGGTGAGTCTGAGTTCGCTTCACTGTCCGTGGCTTTTTACGCAGAGAGGATGAGGAGTTTGCACGAGTGTCTGCATCAGTGCGAGCGGCTGATTGGTGACTTCACCGCCCATCCTGTCTCACCCTGAGACCCCCTGCGTCCTGGTAAAGGACCCCGAGCCGCTGTTTTGTTTTTTTGTCACTAGCCCGGTCTCTCTGACGGGTTTGCGCTGCTCGGAATCTTTGGCTCATAGAACTAGTCAGACTTGTTTCACGTTGCCTTCGGGCGCAGCCGGAATCTGATCATTGCTGTTATTCTTCATATCGACCTCTCCGCAGGGTCACCGCACAGTCTCAGGAACCTGTCGGCGCGATGATGCAGGCAGTTTAACTTGTTTCAAAATAAAAGTGCAAAGGAATCAGAAATTTTTACGTCACTAATGAGGTGTCACCTGAAAAATATGGGGCGTGGTTTCAGAATTGACAGGTGTGGAGAGCAGTGAAGCTTGCAGGTTTACCTGGGAGCTGTTTTTTTGTTTGTTTGTTTGTTTGTTTGTTTTACTTTGTAATGTGATCTCAGAGGCTACTCCACCCAAAAACCCTAATCCACAGGAGGTCACGGGTGTCACAACCTGATCCCTGCTCTAGTGTAACTCAGTGCTCTGCACGGGTTTTAAATTTACTCAATTACTGGATGCTGTAAGAGAAAGAGGCAGGAAGCAAATAAAGAACCACAAAACCATCAGCCAGTCACAGGACAGCAACTCTGAGCGTTCAGACACGTCGACTCGGCCTGCTGAAGTTCACCCCGCGCATCAGAGTGTGGAAGGAAGTGACTTTGAACGTGATGTGGTTGTTGGCTCTGAGTCTGTGGGGTTCACAGAGAATCGTAGGTCAAAGGTCAGTACAACAGGATGTGCAGAGGACACGTCTGCAGCACCTGTGTGACGCTCTCATGATCCTGTCACCAGGGGGAAAATGTGTTGTTCCCTCAAAGGTATCAGCAATCGATTTCACAGCAGCTGCCTGCAACCACTTACAGTTTTACAGTAAAAGTCACGGCCAAAAGACTTCCTCGCCTTGCTGAAGTCAAGGAGCGAATTCAAACCATTCTGGAAACAGGCGTCCATCAAGACCAGACAAGCTCTATAAAGAGCAGATTATAAAACACTAACATAATAAAAACAGATAAAAATACCCCAATAAACTAAAACAATGTTACTGAATGAAGGAAAATCTGCTGTTGCTTTAAAGTCATCACTAAAACTGTCAACTTCCTGCATTTAAAACTGTTTCGTTATCATTTAGTAACTATTAGAGTGAAATAAAAACTTTCTGCGACATGTGAAAGCTGACTGCGAGTGTTGCATCATCAATATTCCCAGTTTTTCAAAAAAAAGTAAATTCCTGCTGTCATCAGACGCCGTCATGCATTTGTCTCTTCATTGTCCAGTTTCACTTCAGAAAACTGTTTTATTTTGGTCACAGCGTCACGCTGTTGGATTTCGGGAGTCCTTTTGCTGACTCTGAGGACGTGAAGTGGAAGCAGCTTTTCAGGTTCCTTTAAACTCGCCGCTCGTAACTCCAGTTACGGCTCCCAGCTGTTCTCAGGTGTGCTCTGTTGACACTTCAGGTAGTAACACGGGACATATGACGTTTACTCCGGGCCTATGTTTGCATTTGGACCTGTTGTTATTCATGTCCACGTCAAGTCGACTGCAGGATGTGAAGAAAAATCTTGTTCCTCTTTCGTGTGCTCCTCGCTGCACCTTCCTTTCTGTGTGCTTTGAATTCTGCATCTAACAGCATTTAAAGCTTCGAGATGTTTGCTCAAAGGCACGTTTAATCGTTGCTTTACGGCGCTCACTTTGTTTCTCTGCGTGAAAACCTGAGTTTACGCCGAGGACGCATCAGCACAGCAGGTCAACAGTAATTCTTACTTTTATAAATATATTTTAGCTCTACTAAAGATGCTTTGCAGCTTTTTCTGTTAAAGCTTTTTCATTTCAGTGGGTAAAATCTGACACTGTCAGGTCCACGTGGTGATGGGTCGTGACCTCAGCCTTACCCTAACCCTGACTATAACACTAAAGCTCACTGGATGTTATGAGGTCTCTGAGCACTGTAACACCCTTATGAGTCAGTGTGATTACTTTGTCTGCTGATTTCCAACACTGGGGATAAGATGTATGTTTTCTAACAGCAAAGTGTTCGGTTTATTAATAATGACCTCTGAGGGTTATCACAGTGAGCAAAATTTTACTTTTGTGACTTTTACTGTAAAATTGTAAGTGGTTGCAGGCAGCTGCTGTGAAATCGATTGCTGATACCTTTGAGGGAACAACACATTTTCCCCTGGTGACAGGATCACTGAGGCTCATGCTTGGTGAAAGAGATAAAGGTGTTACATTAAAAATCATGAGCTAACCTCCGAGCGCAGTAAACCTGGAAAAAGTGCGATGCAAACAGAAACAGTTCGCTGTTAAATGAAAAGCTGTGTCTAACTGCTGAAACGAAAACGCTTCAACAGGTGCAACTTTTTGCATCACAGCTGGAGTTGTCCATCCAAATTGTGGAGCGACTCTATGGTTACGCCGTAACCTTGGTTCTCTGAATAAAAGACTATCTCTCTACTCGGGAAGAGAGAGTCTCGATATGATAGAGAACACAGCAAGCTGACAGCAACCGAAGCAACTGCAACAAGGTTTTTACTGCAGCACCACTTCTGAGGCCAATTCTGCCTAGCAACAGCTAGCAAACCACAGCAGAATGCACACTGTCCAAATTAGCACGAGGTTGCCGTCTGGTTCTAAACTGAAACAGCTTTTTTGGGCATATTTACATAATTAACTTCAGTGTTAGTGTTCGTTGTTGTGTATCACATCTGTTAAATAAAATAAACATAATCTGCCTGTGACATGACACCCGTGGAGCTGCTAATGAAGAGTTAGCATGCTAGCTTTAATCTTTACAGATCATTCAGGCAACATGTTTCAGCAATGGAGTTTATTTTAATGATGATTTGATTCATCTGCAAGCTTCTTCATGCAGCTGAAGTATCAAAATTTCAACTTGCTCCTTAGTAAGTAGAAATTTACACATATTTTAGGTGCTGCATGGCAACAAGCGTCCACTTGATGAGTTGATCGTGAGTGTGGTAAAAATACTTTTCCCCCCCCAGTGTTTTAATTTCTCTAAATAAATCCGTACTTTCCCGTTTTGTATGAACCACAGAATAAGACCGGTCGGGTTTCACCAACAATCATTGTGGTTATGGCGCAGCTCAAATAAATGCAGACCACTGACGCTATAAACTCGCGGGCACGTGAGATGCTGTGACGCTGACTCTGGGAAAATTAGTCTGCAAATCAAAAATCATTGATTGATTTTTTTAAAACCTGTCAGGGCAACAACGGGGTGACGTCTCAGAAGACGCCATATTATCTTACTTTTAATTCTTTAATTTTATCTGAGTCTTATTGTCCTCTTTTTCTGATAATTTAACCCTGTCAGCTTAATTCATCGTCTTTTAACCTGTTTTCATCCAGATGAGCAACACACAAGCAAACGGCGAGTCCAACGTTCAGATAACCAAGAAAGCCAAAATGAGCGGCGACACTGGTGCCCTGCACCTGGACGGCATCCCTCCGGACACGCTCAGTAAGGTACGTGTCACCTGGTTGGTATGTATGATATTTCTGTGGTAGAGACAGTATTCGATAGATAACTAGCAAAAAGCCAACCCACATTGCCAGGCCTGCAGCACATGTTCGTCTCATTTATGTTTAAAACACAGAAGTCTGTTTAAATTTATCATGTTGTTGTTTTTTTATATTCTTTATATCACTTTATAAAGTCACACGCCATAAACACCAAACACATAAATCATGAATACATATTTTATCGTTTTTCTTTGCAAGCTAGATATTTATTTTATGCAGCAAAATAATAATTACAGGCACTTTTAGCTTTGCTGTGTCATGAATATTAATTTAAACATGTGACCACACATCCCACTGCACAACAATGTACATGTAGCGTACATGTCAGCATTCATTTAGAGATTAGTTACTAGAATCTGAGTGTTGAATAGAGCTTGATAATCCTGGTCTGGTATATTATTCAGTACATTTGATTGTGATTTAGTCGCACGTCTAAGACGAGTTTGGGATGATGCACATGCACATATACACTACGATCAACATATTAGGGCCCAGTGAACACAGGATACATGTCTTATTTCTGCATGTCGGCATGCTAATTAATGAGAACACAGCATTAAAAAGTCCCTGTGCAGATACAATATCAATTAAATGTATTTTATTGGTTATTAACAGTAATTATAAAATACCTTTTAAAGTAAATATCACTTTAAAGGTTCCTGCATGTTTGCTCAGTCTGACACAGTCTAACGTTATGGTTTTAGCCTCTTATTGCACTGATCAGAAGGGAAAATCCAGAAGCTTTAATCACATGATGATGATGTCTTTATCTTTGCAGATAACTTGTCAGAAACAAAGAATTTAACACTTTAAATGTGCTGAGCAAAGCTACCAAAGTTTATTGAGAATTCATCAGAAACTTCAGGCTAGCTTAAGTCACGGGGATTCTTCTTTCGGTGAGAAATGATCCAGATGTTGTCTTACACATGGCCACAGCTGCTAGCATTGCTCAGTGAGGTTCAGCATCAGGCTCCAGGGCTGGAAAATGAAGCCAGCGCTCTCAGGACCACTCAAAGCCTCGTACAGCCTGGTACCAAGTATCTTGCACATTGAAGAAAGGAGAGTCCATAAAGTATGTGTGTATAAATATCTGTGTTTGTTTACAGCAGTGGAAAAAATGAAAATGGGCATAAAATCACATGAAAAACCAGCTTTCTCCCTGAGTGACCAACAGCAATATAATAATCTTCACACAAAAGCACCAAACACTCGTTACACAGACGTAAACAGAGCAGGTGAATATTTCAAGCACGCAAAGAACAGGAAGTAGCTGCGAGCTGCCGCAAACTGTTGGTGAGTGAATTCCTGACAGAGGTCAGGAAAAAACAGGAACAAAGGGTCATATTTTTCATTTGTCAGATTCATGGTCAGTCATTGGTTTACTAACTTAAATCATGACTTTATGTATTTCATCATTTTTAAAGTGACAACTTCCAGTTTTTCAGCTGCAACTTCATGAATAAGAAATCGGAGCCAAACCTCCTTATTTCCACGAAACCGTGACAAGCAGCACGATCGCATCGATTTCTATGACATCCAGGGAGTTTGTTTCTTTTTATGATGTTTTTTAAGGGCGAGGCTCTGATGACTCCCAAGATGATCGCCAAAGACTGTCACCAAGACCAAAGGTTTCAGCAACCTTCGGTTTACTGGTCCATGTCCATGATGCTGGCGACTGATCCCTGACAACAATAAGCAAAACAAACCAAACGCGACTAAACTAAGACTAAAAACACCGGTTTGTTCCAGGATGAAATCAGTCAGCCAGTAAAGCTGAAATTGATCCTCTAAAGTATCTGTGCCAGAAGAAAAATCAGAGTGTTCACCAGATGAAGAGTTAAAAGTATCCGAGAATATTGGAAATATT